TTTAATCCATTTAGTGTAAAATCACCGTTAAAATGTTTCGAAGTATAATTTTCTGGAGGAAACAACATTGAAATTGCATTGTTATGTAATTTTTTATTATAATTCTGGGAACAAGATTTATTAGTTCAATACAAAATTTCCGTAATTATTATTATTCTAAGCTGAACTATACCTGCGTTAATAACAAATGTTTTGTTTTCCTTAAATGTCTATTGAGTTTAATGATCTTACCACAATCTGTGGTATAAACTATTGGTGAGATCAAATTTATTTTTATTACGATACTGTCAAATCGTACTACAGATGAGTCGCTTTAATGCGATGGAGACAGTATAATATAGTAATAGACAACAATACGTGTTAGTTCGTGTAAATTAAACATAATTTTTTATACGCAAAATGTATTGTAACTATAATACCAAATAAATGTGAAACAAATCTAAGTTAATCAAAATATTTAACCTTGTTTCTGTTTTCTTTCTTTCTTTTTTTTGTTTTTTGTTTATTATTTATTTAAAGTTTTCTTGACAATAATAATCCAAACTTAGGGATACAGGAGTAGTTTTTGACATTTTGTAGATTAGATAAAGTTAGGTATGAGTAAGAACGGTGGTTTTTTTTTTATATAATATACAGAAAAATGAAAATTATCATATGACGAAACAGTTAACAATCATACAATTTATTATACGATTAGATAAATTCATAATATACATGACGTGTAGTATACTATTAGTCAACTGTTGATGTAATGTATATTATATAATAATAATAATAGTATAAATGTAATATTGCGTCCAATGGCCACAGTTGCCGTGGACTGTGTTTTAATAAAAAAAAAAATAAAAATGTGATACAATGTGAAACAATTCATGAAGTATGCAATACTATTGTTTTTATGCATTATGGAACGGTAATAAATAAATTRTATCATATTATATACAATTTAGTAAAATTAACATAAAATATGATTCAATATTTCGGTATTTCGATATTTTATACTTCTTCGCGTAATAAGTAATTTTACGTCAATATTTTCAGAGAAATATTCTTCTTTGGAATGCAAAAATAAAAAGGGTATAAAGTCCAGAAAATATTAATAATATAAAAATGAGTGCACCTTATGAGCTTAGAAATGTGAATGAACATGAATTATAATCATAATATCAATATTACTAATACAATATTGCTACGATAAGTTGAGCAATATTATATTGTTATGAACAAACATCTACTTACTGGTCGTTTGCAACACTAGAGAATAATATCAACCTGCCGTCGCCTCGGGATTTCCAGGACCGTATTCGGAATAAGTGGACCAACATTATGTCATGTAATATATTATTGTTATTATTATTATCACGTCAAGCATATACATGATGGACCCSAGGAAATCGATGAACCGTAAGCTGGTCTAGACCTAATGCAACCGCGAGTGGCCTACGTAAAGTAGTACTGTATAAACACATATAAATAATAATATTATAATATAAATCGTAATAATATTGTAGAAACGACATGACTGCATAGTTATTCGACGTCGTAAATCAAGGTTAAAGGTTTGCCGACCTGGTGTCGTGAGATTTTAATACCCACTCAATTATTATGTTTACTAGTTTACTAGTTTACTACTTTCGATAAAATATACATAATATCACCGTAACTACTAAGTTATTGAAGCATAGATTAGACAATAAAAAAGTACTAAATATATTTGCTTGATGCTATAGTAGATAATATTTWAAAAAAAATATTTTTGGCATAAAATTTTTTTGTTTTTGGATATTTAATAATATATTAGTCGGTTGTTATGATTCTTTAAATGATTTAGAATTTTTTTCCTTGATTTTCGGAAATCCGTTTAAAAAAAATTCGAAATTTATCCACCTCTAAAATGCTCTAATATACTTTGACCAATTTGATTAATCCAAAAATAAACTATCGTAACTGATAACGAAACGTCCTGAACTTCAAATCACTAAATATAATATTTATTTATTAATTTTTTATAAGAAATATATAATCTGTACCTTGAGGTTCAATAAGAATATGGGCTAATTTACAATGACATGAATGAGCTGTTGGAAGAAGCCACCCAGTAGTGACACTTCCTATTGACAATTTATTTTTTTTTTTTTTTTACTACTTACTTAACTATTGTTTTTTAGTTGTTTTTATGAGATCTCTGTACCATTTTCTTTTTAGCCATCAGTAAGGATTACCAGGAACTTCGTTCGATGCTGATTCACGGATTAATAGATTTAATAATAAATATGATATTGAATYGTACATTTCATAAGAAATTAATGAAAAATAATAAAATCCCAGAAAACAGGAAAATCTTAAATTATTTAGGTTTATTATAATCTATATTTATAGCTGTTACACTATTATATTTATATATTTGTATTATATTTTGGTATAGATTAATCGTTATCAAATTTTTTTCTTAAATAAAAAGAAAATGATTATTCGACATAATGTTTAAAAATTACAAAGTTGATTTTTAGAGTGCTTAGATGTTTTTAAAAAACTTATGTTTCATTATACTAGGTATTTTAAATTAATAATATGTATGTGGTTGAACAATAATATTATTTTATTATTGAATCATTTTATTACAATTTTATACAATTGKTATGCAATCTATACCTATAGTAAATTTATTTAACATCGTCCATTGATATTGTACCTGCACAATAGTACATAAGTTAAACATATATTATGACCCTAAGTTGTATTTATGTATGTTGATAACTTGATTATGATCAGTTTATTACGTCAAGTTCGAACTTAAAATAAAATCGTTGGTATTAATTAATCACTGAATTAGTACAAAATAGTATTAAATAAAATATAAAAAAAAAATTTTAACTCTTAGTGTCATACAGGTATGATAGTATAATATATACATATAAATATATATACAATATATTATAAAGTATAATATTATTTCGTATGTAGTCATCACTGAAGATTTATGATGATTAACTAAGTTTTAATGAGTAAGATAAACTAATAATAATTTCATAAAATCTTCCACTATGACTAAATAATATATCATTTAAGAAATTAACAATGTGTAATTATTATACGAATTCAAAAAATTCAAGATATTTTAAAATGAATAGAATAACAATAATTAAATATTTATGTTTGACGTTAAACTATAATATGAAATGGATATACACTAAATATCATAATGCTTCGTTACAAATTACATATGTTTTTTAATTTTTATTATAGTTATTGCTTATATTGAGTTGTGTAACTATATTTGTTTTAGAAAAAAGATGGTGTTGTTATTTTATTGGTGGTAATTTAAATATTTATTTGTTTGACTAAACATATTAATTGTCCACAAAATATGAGCTACCGACATTTCTCCAGCAATTAAGCTATAAAAAATATAAATATAATAATTAAGCAGCACTATAGAAATTGATCACTTTCATGATTTAAATATAACCAGTAGATAAGRATAGATAAATTGCAACAACTCATCTCAAAGTTTCATATACAAAAAATTACATTATTGACAATGATTTTCTATGCGTATTAATAGTACTTAATTCAGTATTTATTTTTATTTAATAAAAAGTGACGAGTAACTACTAAAATATATACACGCTAATGTAGCTAAATTGCCTATACACTGCGCCGTCTAACAAATATACTTTTTATAATAATAACTATTATAGTTTTCTAAACAAAATTTCGTACTATCTAAATTACGTTGTTTATCAACATTTAAAAATAATAATTAACTCTAAAACAATCAAAAATTTTACAAGTTGCAGTTATCATAAAATCAAATAAGCAACACTGGGTGGTACAAAAATAAAATATGAACATGCATGATGAATAACCCTGTTTGTGCATTCATATTAATTTTTGAACATTTTACCTTCGTTTTTGATTGAAAATTATTTATAATTTAAACTATAGTATACAATAAACAAATTTCTCGTATTTTATAATATTTATTCTTTTGTCTGTATAAATTGTCACAAATTACACATTTAATTAATTTGTTTATATGTAGTGTATTGTCTTTGACACGGAATTCTATTTTAATCCTCCATAAATATTAATTAAAACATTAATGGTAATTTTAAAATTCTTTAGGTCTTACACAAATTACTGAATCTTGATTGTATAATTGTATTCATAAAATGTTGTATAGTATACCAAGGTATCATAACAAGCTTCGACCTTCGGAAATCATAATCTGAAATCATTCACGGTCAATATACAAAAACATCGAACTCATCAAAGCCGATATACTTCAAAACCAGGTTCAAAAATACTTAGAATAACAAGAATAAGAAACAATACATAATTTAATTAAGCCATTTGTAGACCCAATTTTTATAATGCTGAGAGTCTTTATAATAATAAAAAAATATTTATAAATGTAACAATTTAGTTTTTTTGTCGTAAAAACATTTAAATAAATTAAATACAAAAGTTTAAAATGTTTACCTAATCGAAAATAATTTAGCGAGCATATAAATTGCAAGTCTCTGATTAAAACTTTAATCAAAAACGATAGTTCATTGAATTTTTTTAGAAAATAATGTTTTATAAATCTATTTAATACTTTTGATTGAGTGCTCCATTTAAATGAAAATATTTATTATTTTATTTTATTTGGATACCTAAAAATACTTTAAAGTTTCTTTTTATCTACATATTTAAATTAAAAAAAAGACTATCTGAGATAAATTATCTAGATAATTTTTTGGTTATTTTTGCATTACATTTAATTTATTGAATATATAGGATGTAGACGGTATAGCTGATAAATACAATTTTTTAAATAAATGATTGGTTGGTTATTGTACATAGATTATCATTTTGTTGAAATCAAATTTTCAATTCAATAAATCAACCTGTATATATTATTTATTAATATTAAAAAAAATAACACATACATAATAACATATCTAAAACAAATTTTTTACAAACGTCATAACTATTGTAATATAACCATTCGACTGAAACACTAACACTATTAAATTATTATTAGCAACATAGTTTTATTCATAATTTGTTTAAGTGTGAATCTTTTAAGTTTGAGGTAAATCAGATATTAAAAATTTAACTTAATCCACGTATAGTAATTATTATTAACACAATTTCAGCTAAATAATACAATACAGGTATAACATTGATATGGTATTTACACATGGTACAGTTCTTAATATTATATTCTTATACATTATCAAAATTCAAAACAATAACAAATACAATATTTGATAGTAAATTCTCTAAGATAAGGGAAAACATTTAATGAACATTTAAAATTTTCAGTAAAAATGTTTTTCAAGGAATGTTATACGAATTCAAAAAAATTTGGTATAATTATAAAAAAAAATTATGTTACTCGATATAAAGGCAAAAAAAACCGTGTCGTAAATTGGACGATTTTTACGATTACGTTTGAGCAATTTTACTCTCAATCGTTAAAGAAATTTATTGCGCTGCGCACAAGTTTTTGTCATTTTTGTCAGAGGTTAATATTTGACCATTAAAATTAGTCAAAAAATATAATGATACTAACAAAACAAAAATAACACGAGACTTAAACATTTTAATAGTTCCAAACACCAGAAAAAGTTGGTTTGACGTACATCGTGATTGTTATTAAGTTATTGAATCATTATTAGTTTGGTAAAATATTTGCAAGGTCTTAGATTTGATACGATGGGTAAAATATCGGTTTGTTACTAACGTGCACAAACAATATAGGTCATAAAATAACCATTTTCTTATTTTTTTTATCATCTCAGAATCCAACGTTCAAATATCGAAAAATATATAATATATTATATTAAAACCAAGAATTAACTTTTGTGACGTTTATCTGATTGAAATCAGCTTAACCTTTAAGTGATTTCTTGATTAATGAATCAATGCTTAACATTTTTAATATGTGAATCGGTTATGACGACGTGGTCGTAAATATTTTGAATATAACAACTTTAATCACGCACAAATTAAAAATTACAAAAATCCGACCAGTTGCAGTGTATTAACTCAAATTATGGATTTTATGTGAAAAGTAAAAATGCTCTTTAAACGTAAGCGATGATGTTTCGATCACGCGCGATTGCAACCCGGTTATTTGTATATTATTTATATATTATATATATATATATATATTATGTATTATTTTAGTATATTTGTATCGGAGATTACGTGATTTTGGTTTTCAACCACATATCCAAACACAGCCGTAGTGAAATTGAATTGATAATTGGTATAATATTAGACATTGGTTGATTGTTGGGTGGGCATTAATTGATAACCGMATATACCACGGATTTTCAGTACTCAGCGGTCATGGAATGTGGTGATGTTGGTGCCAGTGGTGTAATGTGCGGTATTTATTGATGGTTCGAGGGAAGGTATTGAAAATAAAAAACATGATTACAAAAACTTAATAACACGAAATCTGATAGTTTCTTAAAACATGTATGCCCCTTAGGTGTACATCAGTAGTTATGTAGGCCTCCTTTTGGGGTTCAGTTCTGTAGCCACATAATGAGTGACGGCGAAACGACTAACATCAGTGATACGAGTCCACCTATGGCGGCGTCCACTGGAAAACCAGTTGACCAGCTAGCAGTAGCGGCTGCCAAAAACGCCAGCTCAGCCGCGATGCTCACGGATTGGCTAATCGTTGACCGGCGGACCCGACTCGAACCACGGCTTGCCCGGTGGCTGCTGCTTTTTGTCTCCATCTCGTCTGCCGATTCGACACCGTTCATCCGTAGACCGGTCTTGTCGTCCATTTTGCCTCCAGATTTCCGATCACCTAGTGAAACAAACGGAAATTCATAACCACGTTAATAATAATACTATAATAATCAAGATGTAGGTATATAAAATATATAATATTAGATTTTTTGATCGAAAAATGYGCATAACAAGTTGTCTGTATTTTGTATAATATTGTATTACAATATATACTYAGTATATTATATATAGATAAATTGCATAATGTTATGATAAATAATTTAGCGTAATGAATTAATATATTATTATATATAATTATATAATATTATAGGTTTATAATTACGATTAAGATTCTAAATTCAAAAACTAATTAGAATCAATATTACTTGATAGGTAATTTTATTACTATTATAAAACACGTTAACTGCCATGCGGYCGTCAGCGTCCGTATAAAAATAATTAGGTATTGATAATTTTTAGACCGCTGACTGCCACACCATATCATTCGTAGGAGCCCACACGGCTGCGGGCTGTCGTAAATCAATTTGGATTTATGTTATTAACTTTTCCGTGGTGCTATAATAATGATCTTGAAAATACGCTGTGGCGTAGTGGGAATAATTGCAATTTTTTGATGTATTAAACATAATTATTACATTTTTTTTTTTTGTATTTTAAATTTTTCTTCAAATTCAATAGTATATATACAAATAAACATTTATAATGACAGTGAAAAATGTCCTTGGCGTACCCACGATAAAWATTCTTAAGGCGACCGGCCGCCGCATGGCAGTCAATGTGTTAAATTATGAGAAAACATGATTTTAATTTATTAAATTCATTTTATGAGCGAGAAACAAAAATTGTATGTGTCTATAAAGAGCTTAAAAATATGTTAATTGTTTTTAAGTGTCTATTATAATGTCTAAAAAGCGATAATCTAAATATTTGGTTAAAATTTAAATCTTGTGCGTATTTATTATTTTTTGACACAAAAAAATCTCTTATCCGTGGCTGGCATTATGTAAATATCATCGTTTTACGTCCGATAATCTTTGTGAATTTTTAATATTTTATAATTGATATAAACTCGCCAAATATTATACGATAAGACAATATTTACTTATTGACTTAACTTCTGAAAAGTATTTTTTATCGGAGACTGTAGCAAACTCACTCCTCAAAAACATTATCGCAGACACAAAAATACCACACATTATGGTAGAACCGTTATGATTCTTGTACTTGCTCTGCTTGGAATTTAAAAAATGGTTATAATATTATTATTATTTTAAAWTYGAACTACAAAATATCAGTATAGAGTACCCGTCAATAAATCGAGACTAACAGTTAGGTATAGTTCTGTTATAACATTACTGGAATGCCATCTCTTCAAATTCGTAGACTACAGAAMGTTATGACAACAGCATCCAAAAGAGCCCTAAACAACCTAAAAATCATGGAAAACATCAAAGACACGTTAAAAAAAATTAATTTCTCCTATGCTGGAATGAGAGAAAACGCTTTAGTCCCTCCCTGGACAGCCGAAATAAATATAAATTCAGAAATGAATATACTTCAAAAAWTTTTTACATTACCACATATATATATAGACAATACTTTTTACAGATAAGAGAAAATTTTAAAGACTTTACCGAATATACACTGATGGTTCCAAATCGGACAAAGGTGTTGGTGCAACAGTGACATGTCAAGATACTGAAATAATGTTAAAACTACCAAATGACTGTTCCATATATACCGCCAAAGCACAAGCCATAACTCAAGCCATCGACCTTATTAAAAATAAAAATATTCAAAAAGCGATAATCTTTAGTGATTCCCTTAACACTCTTATGAATATTCAAAACTCCTTTAGACCAAACGAGACTGCAAGAATAACACAGAACCAAATATATAAATTACAAAAAGAAAAAACCACCATAAAAATAATCTGGATACCAAGTCACACAAATATCACCGGAAATGAAAGAGCTGATACATTTGCTAAAGAGGCGATTGAGTCACAAAACGCAAACCCATGTCAAGTTTATTCAATAACCTACATCAAACAAATAATTTTAAAAAATAATTCTCAATATCTGGCAAAACGAATGGAAAACATCTAACACCAAATTAAATGAAATTAAAAATCATATTCTCCTTTGGCCAAACAAYACACTCGCCAGAAAAGAAGAAGTAGTTATCAATAGGCTCAGAATAGGCCATACTAGATTAACTCACGCCTTCCTAATGAAGAAAGAAGACCCGCCCATGTGCCCGACATGTAACGATCCCATGACAGYTAAACATATCCTCACCGACTGCAGAAAGTACGAATTACAACGTCAAAAATTCATTCTAACTCACCATCTTGCTGAAAACTTCAACATCGATACAACCAACGTTCTCAAATTCCTAAGGGATACAGAACTTCATAAAAAAATTTAATATATATTATAAATATAATGTATATGTAATATAACTTATCTATTGTTTATATAAATACTATTTAATTTTTTTTAGCCAATGGCCCATAACTACTGAGGCATTTGTTATAATAATAAAAAAAAAAAAATTCTAAAGGGTTATTCTAAAGTGTATTCTATATACACAAATACGCATTTGTCGAAACAACGGTTTAGTATTATATAGTAAAATTTATATGAGAGTGGTGTATATTACCTACACTRCTTATAGTCTTATGATATATTATCTGTAAAGTCATAAACTCATAAGTTTATCGTATAATTAAAGTAGGCTTTAAAATAGAACGATTATACGATTTATTATAATTAGTGTACGAAAATGTGGTCGTAATTTGTGTTTATTAATTTAGAAGAATTTTCATGTCAGAACATGTCTAAATTATATTTCACAACCAAAAATTTATTGTTTCCAATTCTATTTCGATTAAACTTGGGCGTATATATGATATTATGCTCTGTGCGGATATCACATAGGTACTGCAAAGACAAGCAAAAACTAGAATATTCTACACGATGCGCGACGTGCGTAGATTATTTTTTATTATTATTTCGTTTTTCTTCGACTATAACGGTGGCTTTGTACGATTTAAATAAAAACAAACCATTTTGACACGAAAATTTCTGGGCGAGGAATTCTCAAGAAATACAATTTCAGAAAAACGTCMTCGCCACCGACGCTACCGTTGGTTATTAGCATAACACAGCTATACTATTACGACAGGCCATAGTGCTGTGAGATGTTTTCGAATAATATTAGTAATACGACAACGAGCACATTATATAGACAGAAGAAAAGTTTAACGACGACGTCTGCGACGATATCGATGGGCGAAGGTGGAAAGGTGTATAATAAATAATATATACAAACTTTCGAATAAACGCATTGAACATATATGTATTTACGGATTGCGTACAAGTCAAAAACTGTTTTTAGATTATTATTATTATTATTATTATTACAATCCAATGTCGGAAACTGCGTTTTGCCAAAAGGGTAAAGCACTGCGTTAAACACTCTATATTACATTCTGCATCCTCCGGCACCGACAAACGGCAGAGGGACGGAGACTTAATGAAAATTCCGTAGTATTATGTGAAACCAAGGCACGATCGAACACGTGTAACGAAATCTAAAACCGTGACCGATCATACTGTAGCGCTGAATATTAGTATAAGGTCATAATAAACAAAAGATCTAGTGGTGTGCAATAAGCGTGTGTGTCTGAAATTCTTGCTCAATCGATATTGGTTTGGTTGTATCAGAGTATTGAGCGTGTCCATCAACAACGCACAATAATGTAATGCTAATAATAATATAATCGATTGTGTTTGGTATATAGTAAGTTGAAAAGTATGCGCATATGTGGTATAATATTATAATCGGTGGATTGGTGGTGGGTTTACTTGAAATTCTTTCTGAATGGAAACTGCAATGAAATGGGATTTTGACAGTTATAAAATAACTCCTCGTCACACGTAAGAATGACTATAGGAGCGAGGCGATTTGTTTCTTTTTAGAGAAAACAAAATTTCCACGTTATTTCGTCAAGTAATATGATACAAGAAAAAATATCGTATAAGACTAATGCGTTTAAAATATTTTAAGCAGCAAAAGTAATAAGAGGTTTTACGTTTAAAAAAAGATAGCGAAGGATCATTTTTCCTTCAAGTAACCAAAGATAATAAAATGCATCCTACCAATGCATAATGTATGCAATTTGTGAACAAAATAAGTACCTCTAAATTTATCTAATATTTATAAATGTTAGGCGCAAAATGAACATTAGAAATATGATTATAATAATAGTACCTATTCTATATTAATTAACTTTTTATAATATACATTTAGTATAATTCAATTTAACTTTATTCRTGTTCAAGAATAACGACATGTACCATAGATGTTGATTGGATACATATAACTTTTGTTTAAAATGGTCGTGGTTCGAAGACAATTTAATATATTATATGATATTATTTAATACAATCGCACACCTCAAAGGCTCAAAGTCTATTATASTGGATGAGCTTCGAAAAACATGAGATTAGTCTTGTTGTTGTTTTATTATATTAATTATTGTAGAACATTTAAAAATTAAACCATAAGCCTGTATCATTAAAGTAACAACTAAATAATAATATTTATATTGTAGCATTGTAAAATTTGCAATAATTATTTTAAATATTATAGTGATTAATGATAATATTTAKGAGAGCTATCATGGTGTATACGAGAAAAAAAATTAAAATGTGTGTTTAATATTRTTGAAACATGCTAAAAATGTAACAAAAATATGATAAAATATACAATCAAATTATGGTTATTCCAGACCGCCATCAAAAGAAAGTAGAATATCTATTATAACTTTTAATAGATTAATTTGAAAAACTTAAGTTATTTCATAATCTAAACTATATTTTTTAGTCCTTTTATTAAAGTATTGATTTTTCATTGATTTAGGATTTTTAAAATTTAATTTTCAATATCCTCTGTAAGGGTTCACGAGTGCTGTATGTAAAAACTATGCTTTAAACTTTATATTCATAATATGCCTTTTATACTAAACACTTGACGATTGGATAAGTGGTTCAAGAGCYAACCTSTGACACATACAAAATATAGATTAGAGTTTGATACCATTACGCTTGTCGATAATAACAGTTCGCTCAAATGATATTATGTAGGTATAATGTATATACTTATAATATTTGTTTAAACTTTAAAATGTTTTAATATTTTTGATGAGTTACGTCGAGTGTTTCATAAAATAAACTGCATGGTTATTTCCGATAATTGTGTATAAATTAATATGCTGCACAACGTTTTATTCTACAAGAATTGTGTAATATGTATCTGGAAATGGCATTTCGGGAGTTTTGTGAAACACTTATTATCTCACAACTGAAATTCTGTAGTAGGCATATATTATGCCACAGGGTGAAAGGGGTATAATTGAAATAGGTGTTCCATGAATCCTGTAGCTGCTAACCATACATTCAACAATTTTAGACTTTGTAGTCCAATTAATAACGTATAATTACATATTATCCAGTAATAATGTAAAACGTTGGATATATATATATCAAACAGTCATAAATAGTTGCACAGGCTGTTTTACATGAAAAAAAATATAAATTTAGATTTTAATTACTAGATTTTAAGAACCTTATTGATAAAATTAATTAAAATCATGTAGTAGAAAATATAATTTAACAATAAATATTAATTATTATAGCAGCGTGGACTGTGAAATAATCAACATAATTAATATACATATATATAATATATATATATATATATATATATTATATATTATAAAAATAAATTAAATTGCTATCTACAGTTCCAATTTCGCACGCGCGTTTTATGCCACTTTTTATTTATATTCTGTTGTACATCTATTCCGAACCAAACAATTGTGCGATTTATATTTTTTACCAATCCACAAATTACCTAGTTCTCTCTACCAAAGCTCGATATCCGCCAGTTAGAGTAATATTATATGTTTTCATTATCATTATAAAAAAAAAGCATTGYGAACGTAATAATTGTATACCTATTTATAAACTTAAAATAGACCACAGACAACATTAGAGATGTATAATAGATAATAACATAATATCTGCGCAATATTATTGACTCATATCATGTCACCGATTAGAATCGTAATTAATAATAAAGTTATAACTACAAAGCAATAAAATAAAAATAATAATTTAATAATTAAATTAATTGCCCCTTATCTTTGTCCTTTTATATACTACAATCACCAACTATCACAAACACAGACAAAAAAATTTTTAAAATCTTACTCACGCACAAKTAGTTTGCCGCTCTTATCACAGACAACCGTATTTTCGTCAATTATCACAATATAAATGGCTCACCAAAAATTTTAAATCCTACCACCACTGAATAATAATGTRATCAACACCTATATTTGTTAAAGGCGTTCTCGACTACATATGGTTACGAAACAACTTGATATCATTCGTTTGGACATCTTATCTATAATAAATCAACTTAAACTCATTTAAAAACCCAATTAGAAATTGTTGAAAACTATATAAGTAAGTTATTCTTTAAGTATTTTTTAAAAATAAATCAAAGTGGCATATCATAACATTAGTATCATTTTGGACTTAATAAGTCTCTGAAGGTCATCATCAGTGATATTCATTTATTTAGTATTCACTTCAGATGCTTATGTCACATCAGAAATATATTATATTAATTATACAGTGATAAGTATCATAATATGATAACCAATATCAAACATCATCATATACTCTAACTATCTATAAACTACAAAGGGTGCATATAATATAAACACAGCTGAGCCATTAACAAAAAACATCTCAAAAAAAAAAACTACAACAATCATCACTACAACCTAATGTTACCACCAACCCTGAAAATCAATATGTGATACTGGTTATAGTATTATGATATGTATATATACTTAATTAGTTCAAATTACTTAATCGATAAAATAATTGTGATAGTAAAAATACAATAAAAACTAGGAATGCATAAAAATACGTTGAACTGTCACGCTTTATTATTTAGAGTCGTTGTTTCGTACCTATGTAGTAATTAAACGTTTAATTCAAATTTAACACTTTCATTACTCTCTGATCAACTTAATAATATCAAACGATRTATACTTGAAACGTAGTATCCCAAGAAGTTTCTAGGTTTTCTTTTGTAAATATTTTTTTGTGATACAAGATTGAAAATAATATATAAAAACACTGTCAATTATGATTTTCAATTTATAAAAATATTTTTTATAATGATTAAAATATGAGAGTAACTATTACTATACTTAAACAAATTTAAATAATACATATTATAATATTATGCAAACTTTACAAACTAAATGAATAATTCGTAAAAATGTTATATATAATCTACATATTTATTTACACTCAATAAAGCTGTACTCTAATTCTTTGATGATCCAATAAATAAAAACAGTTTTCTCTAATCAACTAAAAATTATTATACTTGCTATTTCATTAATTTTATTCAAAAATGTAATTAGTGTTTAAATATTTATAGTTTAAATTTACCAGATTTTGTATGGATTTTTCTTTTAGTTGTTGGTGACGGTATCACTGAAAAAAAAAAAAAATCAAGCCATAAAATAAAATCGTTTATATTATATTATCATTTAAAGAAATACTTCCACAATTCCAAACAGCTATTTGAAACCGTTTTAAAAATTTTTAATGTCTGTAATTTGTAAAATATACCAAATGGCAAATTGGTATAATAATGGACCATTGATAACGCTAAAAAATGCATTATTGTCCCAATTGTTACATAATAGTATGTATTTTATGATTAAGTTCAACAATCATATGATCAAAAAGTCACGTGAACGATAAGAAAAAATAATAAAGTGCTAATATAGAAACGATAGTTATATTTAATCGAACTAGCAGCGATACAAACAGCGCTAACTAGGTAGCGCATGGATTGGACGCTTCTAATCTAACTGAAACCCATTTAATATAATACAACTTAGATGTCTATAACAGGTGGAGAAGAAGTACTACTCAGAAGATTTTACCTTGGTAAAGTAGTTGAAAAGATTTAGGATTAGAATATCTTTAGAAAAATTCATCACTAGAAAATATGAACTACCATCGCCAATTTTTTTTACCATGAATATCAAAAACATCATAATTTATAGTTAGCTATTATACTATGTACCTTAATTGAAAACAAATGATCATTAGGAAAAGTAGAACCAACATATTTGGAATCAAAATACAGGACAAGTCAAAAAAAATTGATGATAAAATATAACAATCAAGTTTATTCATACATAGTTCATAGGTATATGACCTTATAGATAAGTGTAGGCCATAAGATTCACCGTAATAATGCAATTCGATTTCACTGTTCTATTACGATTAATTGTATAAAAATTAATCATATCCATTGGGATTCTAACGTTTTTCAAAATCGAAGTTTTCGGTTTAAGCACCAGACTACAAGTAAATATATTTAACTAAGTAATCAAATATAATAATATGTTAATTTATGAAACGAATAGATAATGTAAACGTAGTCTTACTTTTCAAATATATACTACATACTTTGTATGCAAACATATTTTTTAGGAATTAATTAGTAGAATCGTTTATTATGGGACAGAGTTGACGTGGACATATATTATTATTTTTTATTTTCTAGTACCAACCATTTGTGTTTTGTATAAATAAACAAAATTATGGGTAAATTGATTATTATTATTTATTGGTAAATAATAATTGCATATTATTCATCGTTTTCAATGAATATTAGTTAAACTGATATCGTTCCTAGTACAAACTACTTTTTGTTCCCAACACAGAATAAATTATAGCATTTAGAGTTAACACGGTACTATGTAATTTATACGCATATAGATATATCAACAAAGGGTGTGCACAAATGGAATGTTATAAATGAATTTATCGTTAAATTTACAAGTTAAGAACTATCGTCTGCCTTTAATGTAAATTACCATAAAATGTACCTATACAAGAATTCAGTTAGAATGTTTTTTAGTACATTTTTTTTTTGTCTTACTAATTTGTACATTATATTTCCAATATTTCCAAATTGTGTTAGAATTTTGAAATTATGCTCACGTCTATAAACTTTAGCTAACTGTAGAGTGAAAAAATCTATATACAAAACAAATTAATATTAAAACAGAATGAATGAAACATATTTTCATATTGGTTTGCTTAAAGTTTTAAACAAGCCTTTTTAACTTAATTCATATTATAATTGTTTATCATACTTGGAATGATTTCATATTCTGATTTCAGCGACTTTTAGTAATAAATTATCATTAAACAAATTTGATTATCGACAGTGGGGTAGTTTTCATTTTGGTTTTAAAACACATTGCTACATGATGTTTTACACCCGTTATACTAATATGTATCAGACATAATTTTGACGAGCTCTGATTATGTACAATGAGAGTTACGAGTGACTCACAGCTCGTCATTATCTCTGTACCGTGTGAGTAGCAAACCACTTCTCAGGTATTTCGTTTTATTTAAGGTTATGTAGAATTCAATATTTTAGAAAACGCTTACTTTCCTATGTAAAGAAACAGTCGACCGTGTTATCAACGTATGATTTGCATGGCACATGTGACTCTTATTTTTAAGAAAAAAAATATTAAAATTATTGTCAATAGAAATATGTGTAAAACATTATTTTAAATTTGGTAAAAATAAATATTTTGATGCCAAATGTTGTAACTGGTATTAGATAAAGAGATAAATAAACACTTATCAATTCAAAAATACAAAATAATCGATATAACATAAATAATTATAATAAAAAGGTAAGGTTAAAAAATGTTCATCTTGTTAAGTTTGGTGTTTAGCCTTTAAATCTAAAATTTTTTTTAAAAAAACGTGATATTCAAATTTTATATTTTATAAAAAATATTTAAAATGTATTATTAACTATCATTAAAACTATTAACTATTATATTATTATAAAAAAATTTCATGGAAATATTGGAATAAGAAATGCTGTAGCTAAAACGATTGTAAACAGTATTCAAGTTAATAGTTTACTATGGTGAATTATTTAAATTTTTAGATTTTGGTTATTACAACACAAAATGTTCAAAAAATTAAAGTCTGTAAATAACTTATGTTGAACCAAACTGCCTACATAGTTTATCATGTATATAAATTAATTTAATAACACTTTTCAGGAGATAAAGAATTATCTTTTATTAATTTAGTAACGTAAAAATGCAGCGATTACAATTTAGTACTCGTATTAATCATATTATTCATCTTTCCATAAAATACTAATCTAATATACTTATTAACTCTTCCATATAATTATAATATATTCTAATACGTTCGTGACACCTAACGTAGCTAAATACAATGAAATCAAATTTACCTGTCGAGATAGTAACTATTCTTGTGGTAGACGGTAACGTTGTTGTGGTTGTGGTAGTGGAGACGGTGGTTGTCGTGGATGTTGTTGGTGCAACGGTAGTAGTCGGCAATATTATCTCTGAAGCAAAACATAACGAATATATTATAATTACAGCGTACCTACGAATGTTGTACACATTCTATAAAAAGAATGAGAGGATGACCCATTTTTGCTGAAATAATTATTATTTAATTAGCTTCCTAGCTATGATATTATATTAAGTATCCAAGATAAATAATTATAATATGCAGTCTGCAGATATATTATACAGCAGATAATGACTTCTGACGTGATTAGAGCGCAAAGATAAAATCAAATGTTTAATAATTAAAAGAAATAAAAGACACGTAGAGTTTGATTGTTTAATATTCCGTCATTGGAGCACTACGTGCTACGTGATAGATTTATCTATAAGTCTTCTTTTCTATTTCCTCGTGGTTTCTTTGTCAGTGAACTAGGTTCAAAATACCCTATTGTTTATCATGGGTAAGTTTATATAACGTAAAATATATTGAAGTGGTAAAAATGGTAAAACAATAAAGGCATTGTTTTTCGTTTCAAATGTGCATCTTAATATAATTATATTATTATTGTACAGACTTCTTATCAACCTCGAAGATAGGTGATACATTCCATTTAAATATAATTTAGATAAAATTATTTAACCGCATAATGAGATATTGCATTTATAGTCAAAGTCTGTTTGGGAGCTTTGGAACGAAAACGATTTGATAGGTTTTAAAGCGCCCGGGGATAAATAATTGTGTTACAACTTAAAGCATGTGTAAAAACTTATCAGTTTCTACGATAAGCAATACAAGTATTATTTAAGTAAATTATGTGAAAATTCGTACGTGCATATTGCTGAATAAATATAATACCCAAAATAATTTCAGTGTCCCACTCATGACAAATCTGACAAAAAGTGCTGGTTACGAMAATAATTTGAGAAAGATAAATTTTTATTTTATGCTAATGAGATACAAATTTCTATTAATTTTTTTTTTTAAATCCACATTGAATATAATATTTATAGTTGGTGTATACCTATATAAATAATATTTATTTGTTTGAAAACTACACAAACAACGTTTCATGAAAATAATTCTATWAACATTTATTTATTATACGTTGTTCAAAATGTATTAACGAACCAGCTATTTTAAATCTGAATACAATTATATAATCACAAACAAAATTTGTATGTACATAACGAAGGAACAAGTTTTTAATAACACGATGAATACTAAAAGATGATCGTTTTTGTAGTGTTATTAATTACACRAGACCGACAATTTATAATAATATTCCTCCGCGGAATGTATAACCTAATTTAAAAGTACAAAAGTATTTTTCATGATTCACCAAAATACGATTAATTTCTTTTAACAAACGGCAAATCAAACCACCAAGTTGTTCATTGCGTAATTTAATAATTTAAAATTAAGCTTAAATACGAAATTATGGCTGCTGAAAATGACTTGATAAAACGAAAATATTAACATTAGTTTAAGAGAAAGGAAACTAGTTGACATTTATTTTAAATTCAAAATGGACCAATTTCATTCCTACTAACCAGAATCAACCTCTGTTCAAAGATTTAAGTTAAGCAGTATAAACTTTAAATATACAACACAAAATAGCAGCAAAATAGCAATAACTTTATTGTTAGAATCGTAGCTTTAAAAGGGAATATTATGTTTTTAATAAGTAATCTAGTTATTATTATTGTGATTATTATTATTATTATTTATGTATATATAAATAAATATGATATCCATATGATATCATTCAATTACCAATACAACTACAAAGACCTTACATATTTCATATGAATCAAATAGTAGAAAAAGTAAACATTTTAATTTGTATTTATATGTATTGCGTTATACTAAATATGTACTTGGAAACTATACCATGACGATTGGTAACAAGTTTTTGAATTGAAAAATTACGTTTTGAAAAATCAAATTTGTGTGAACCTTATACATATATATAATTTACATATATTTATTTGACAAAAATATTTTTGGATAACATATTTTACTRTCTTTTACTTAATTATAAACGTTAGGTTGAAATTAATCCATGTTTTTKATAAATCCAAAAAAAATATTTAAATGATTTTAAATGTATTATTAACATTTTTAATTTTTTACGATTATAAAACAATTACCATACATTTGTGATGGAATTCAGTTTGAATCGTTATATACATAATATATAGGATGTCTGTCAAAAGTATTATTATACTTTACTTACATCAATGATCAATAACATCAAGGATTTAAATAAGCTTTCAGTTTTCTATGTTTTAAACAATTATATGTAAAATACAACACTATGGGTTTAGTGTAGAATGATTTATGGTTTCCGGAAACTTTTATTTGACACTTTATTCCATTTGCACAACACTTTCACCGTCTTTCGTTTTTTTTTCTATTTTTCTTAAATTTTACACGAATGTTTTTCAGTGACGAAATATTATGTGTTCACTCATGATTTATGACCATAGTGAACAATTGTCCAAAATAATGTTCTTTGTCCTTTTAAATTTTGTCCATTTGAAAGTTTAGTTTATTTTTTATGTTATATAATGTATTTTTATATTTCTAGATACTTAAATATGAATATAATATGTTAAGGGTTCATTATCAAAAAAAAAGAAATTTTAAGCGCGCCTATTATTAAGACAAAAAAAAACATACTACAACTTATAAATATATAAGGTGTGTCAAGAATATACTAAAAAATAATGTTTATTATACATGTTATCCATAATACAAACAATTTATTTAGGTAAATAAATTGTATTAAATTCTCAATAATTCTTGCTACGGTAATTTAACATAATATTGAGCAATTATTTAAAATATATAGTATAAACAATATAGTATAATAATTATATATATTACTTTAATAACCTTTATATTGCCCATTATAATAAAGGATAAGAATCTGTTGGTTGTTCATTGATGCAGTGTCATAAGTTAAACAATATAACAACATAAAATCAATATACTATAAAAAGACCCTATTTTTCACTTACCAATTACTTAAATGTCACAAGAAACTTTCATAACAAACTTAATTAATCATTGGTTTGAACCGTCAATTATTGTCATGTTTTGAAGGTTGGACACTTGCACTATAGGGTAATATCGTTAAGCAAAACATACTAAGCTCTTAGGGTTGAAGAATTATGAAAATATTTTGAAGTAATTATTTTGTCAAAATACTCAATAATAGATTAAGTAACTTCCGGATTAACTATAAAGCCACAAATGTGTATAAATAAAAATATAATAATGTAAAAAAATATAATGTCAATTATAGATTTAAGATCCAATTTAAGATAATTTTTCTATTAACCGTGTAGCCATAATAACTTAACACTCTTTTTACATTTCCATAAGAGTACTATTTAAAAATATATATAACATTAAAAAAATGTTTTAACTCAAAATGTTTAAAAACTATCGACTAAGTACCTAGCAACACAAAACAGGTTTTAAAACAGAAAACCGTATTAGAGGATAATCCGATACTATTAAGTTATAATAGTTATACATTTTCTTTAATACTATATATTTTATACTTATTATAAAAAAATATCATATTATAATTTCTTTTTCATTAAGGGTATGTTTTGAATTTCTTAAAAATTTGATGTTTATTATTAATCAGAGAAATAACATATGGTTTTTAGTGTTTCAAGTAAAATGTTGGTATTCATTGTAATATTAAATAAATTTGACTTCTGGGTACACATATTTTATAATTGAGTTATGTGAAATTTTGCTTAATGGCTACCTATACACGTATAAATATAGTCAGAAAATCGACCAATGATTTCTTTATCATAGAGTTCAGATAAATATGTTAATGTAGTACCACTAGGTTCAATAATTTCAAAGTGATAAACAAAAAAAAAAAAAAAACAAAAAATTGTAAAAACAACCTTCATAAATTTAAATCCTTGACAAGAGGCATGATTAAAACGGTAAAATGGATTTAATCCGGAGAGCATTTTGAAATAAATGCAGCTTAACAACTCAGCCCAGTAGATTCTAAAAATATCTATCGGAATTAGTGATTCGTCAATTACATCTTAGTATCCAAAACACAGTGTTTGAATATATTATTTCAACACTATATTTGATTTGCATTACATTATAAGCTACCTGGAATAAATATACATAACACAATATATGCATTATCATCAGCGATAAATGATGGCCAAATACAAAAAAAAATATATATATACGTATATATCGATATAATAAGTGATATGCAACGAACGTTCACAGCGTGTAAATAATAGTCCAACATTTACTCATCATAACTATAATACAGCAGCTATGGTTGTTATACATATTAGGTATTAGGTAATATATATTCCAAATTATAATGCACATAATAAGGTTAGGTTAGGATTTCTGAACTAGTACAGAAAACCATTTACAATTATGTGAAAATTTTTCAATTATTTTCAATGTACCTATGTCGTGTGGAACCTCAAAAAACCACACTGGTTTGCCACTATCACCGTTCACCAATATAACAAGAGTTCTATATTATGTAACTAGGGTAGTTATATCACTTATATCTGGTGGATACACATAATAATTATTATTATTTATATTATATTAATATTATTATCATGATGTGTAAAAGGTTATGCGAGAAGCGCACTACGCTAAATTTGAATTTATAACATAAACTACGGTCCTCGACACTTTTTTCTGCACCCGTGAACCATGAATGTGTTCTGCAGAGTGTGGATATTATGATAATGGTTCTGTCGTATGTGCATAATAGCACTACTGGCTTTGGTGAACGGTGGATATTACCAGCACCTGTGTGATAACGTCACCATGTGTCAGCCAGAGGGGTCACGCGTCATTTATCCCTGGACGAGAAATTTTAGAATAGACCCCCGCAAAAAAAATATTATTAAAAAAATAGTATAACTCAACCGAGACATTTTTATTTGTCGAAAAGCACTTTACCAAGGATAACAAACTGTTATCCCCTGTCTTAATAAATGGCTATATTTATAAAGATATATATACATA